ACACGCCACTCGTCTCACATCCCGTGCAACCCACCAGATTCAATCACACACACACGGCACACACACACAACATACTGCCGGCACAACGCCCGCATTCCACGGAGCGCAGCGGTTGCACACACACACACACGCACCACACACACAACGCAACACACACACACACGCACTCACGAGCGATACAGAGGTATACACAGCACTGTTAGTTATGATTACGCTATACTAATGTGGTTTGAATTATTTGGATGACGCGGTGGAGCTGTGGAAGGCCATAGCTTTAGAGGTCTTTAGAAGGAAAAATGCTGCTAATCGAATAACTGTTACGCCTTCTATTCTAGACTTGGATTTCAAATCGAATAATCTTACCGCGTAATAAATAGGCAACTATGTTTCCCGTTATAATGCTATGCGTATCACTTTTGCTCTAGATGTGTATGGTGTGAATGAAAAAAAAATCGCGTGAATAGATGTAACGTTTATGGCCCAGCGTTATTGGCAGTAGTCGATCATGGCTAACAAATATTTACCCGTACCAGTCACACCAAAGGCCGCGGGCACACACAAACAGACACATTGCTGTAATAACAAGCAGACGCCATAGAACACGCTCACTATGACCAATGGAACAGCCGCTAAGTTCAAGTACTTCAAGAGCAAAAATTTGATATAGGATAGCTCGATCTCTAAGATTTACTAAGCATCACAAACCTGTATTACTGATATAATACTTCAAATTACGCTCCTACCTACCCACACGGTACTTGCTAGACCAGGATGAAGCCGGTTAGGGGGTTAGGTGATTGGTTATAAGCCTGCGTCGGATTAATTAAAGCATCAAGTTCAAGACGCTACGAAATTTGAACGGCGTCCATTGACACGACTCCGGTGCTAACCGGACCGCATATAAGACCTGAGTAAGCTGCCATCCCCCCTAAAACCACCTGAAATTAATGCGCCATTCTCCTATCACCAAGGTGGAGGGTGTGGTGTGTCGACGGCTTAACTATAAGAATGAGGGCTAACATCACAACCAACGGTGCAAATATATCTGTGGTATACCACTAATAATTCTATTTAACGGCGAGACGATGTTCATTTGTGACGACCAAATTTTATCAATAATCATAGACTCAGAACCACCTAACTATTCGTTTATAAGATATTGAAATCCTTTTGCTTTTAAAAATTTTAATAAATAAAAACACCCTCGTCGTAACCCTTGGCATGAAAAGTCGTTTTGCGCAACTTTAGATTCTGCGTTGAGTGGCGCTAAACCGTCGTGTAGTCGTTTAGTTTTAAAAACATTAAAAAAAAATTTCGAATGGTGATTGAACCCATGAAACTTTTTATGTAGCATAATTTAACCTAAATAAACTGAAAATAACCCTAGAACCTAGAGTAAACGATCCTTTAAATGGTCATCAGTTCTCAGTTCACTCGCCACGTCACCCGGCCCAGCAATTGTGACCTAAATAACCGCACATGTTTTGCGTAGCAGACACAGCTTTGGTGCGGATAACTTATCCCGCGCCTGCACTCCTGTCATTTTCGGCCAAATTGGTGGGGCGGGCCACACATATTGGGAGCGGATAGCGTGACAACATGCAACACAATTTACCTTGTCAATTTGTAAGTCTGTCACTCGGGGCTGTTACAACTGTTAGTTTTAGGAGACATCTTGCATGCGTAGCTTTGCCGAAAACATGAAAAAAATAAAACTTCCTTGGCTAATATATGAGATTTATTACATACCAGACCTTCTTAAGAATTGCTCTATATAATAGATTAGCAACTGTTAGAAAAATGAAGACAAGATAAAAAATCCCAGTGAAAGACCGGATACTCAGAGCCAGGGCTATAAGTTATAACATAAAAGTAGCGAGTATAAAAAGACATAAGCAAAGTTCCTACCAGTTCCATTCGAGTTAAAATGAAAATTTAGTACGTGTCAGGCATTAAATGAATTTATTATACTACACGTATCATGTCACCTGTATGAAAATCCTCTAGAAATGCCCAAAAGCCTTAAGACAGACCTTCTAAAGACGTGGTAACGGTGTCTATAATCACCATATTTATTATTACTATTACCCGACTAATGGTCACTCCGGATGTGGTTCAACACGTTCAGAGCGTATTTCTATCGCTCTGTACACTCCCTAACGAAATAGATAGGCAAGTTAGTAAGTGTGTATCTTATATATACTCTCTCTGGAAGAACAGACCGATGGACGTTACCTCGAATGTCACTGTGAGCAACTGTGCTAGATCATCGGTTGTCTCCTAGTCACGATCGTCGCACAAGATCTGTTCGTCCAAGTCCTGCTCTCTGTCTCGCTCAACCATCACGCCCTCTCCCCTTTCTTCTATCTCTCTCATGTGCATTTGCAAGCAATCTTGGCGGCTGGCTCTATCCCACAGGACGTATCTGTGATGCTTTTTACAATACCCGTTTAGAACTACTAGCAACGACTGAATGAATTTAAACTTAAACTAATTCACTCTGCATAATTATGGTCTAGTGTAATCGTCACTTCTGAACAATCACCCTTTCCAACAATTATAGATCGCAGTGTTTGAACACCATGTCAAACCGTTTGACAACCCCACTTCTCATCATTTGTCGCCACTTGTCTTTGAGTTGAATGTTATTCCTCTTAGGAAACATACTTGTTTCGACAATAGCCGCCCAATTTCCAGCACCATGTTCTTGCACTGCGTTGTGTAACATTCTCTCCTCAGAATGGCTCCATATCCTTAAGCTCCAGTCAGGCACAGGAGAGTAATCATCATCTGTGGAGTGAGTAGATTCTTCAAGATTGTTCACTACACCCAGTGCACTGTCCTCCCTTTAGATAAGACCACTTTATTCTTTGCATTCCGCTCATCAATCCATCTGTCACCACCGCACAAGAAGCTGGGCGCCTCCTGGTTCTGCTGCGTAGCTTTTCCGTAACGGGATTGGCAGCATCATTACTCGCAACCACACATGAATCTGGCAGCCTACGCATCCTGACATGCAGTGTCTTCTCACGAAGAGATTTCGCAGCATCAGCAGTCAGCTCTGGCACCTGGCTACGCCACTGAAGAAAGCATTATCCGGTATAGAATTATTCGGTCAATATAGTGACATAAGCACAAATCTGTCACCATATACCACGAGAGATCGAGAAGCGCACCGCAGTATCGTCTTACGGCGTTTGGTATCTGCCTATAAATGAACACCCCACTAATTAGTGCGTATATGCTCCCAGGTATAATAATGCTTTTACGTATATTGGCTCATATATCTGTGTAAACTATGAGGTAGCCTGATTATTCCTGACCTGCCATCTCCTGCCGAAAATATATAGTGCGCGCGCACACGAGCAGAATTCTCAATATAAGTGCATAAACCATGCAGCACCCAAAATCTCTTAAATCCTCCGCATGCCTCTCGTATCACAACGAGAAAATATTGGGGAAACGTGGAACCTGCTAACGCTTGCAACACCAACAATGAACGCCACAGGGATTTTCACTGAGAGAAACCTGACAGCTAGTCAGTGGGACACAGTCGACGAAGATAAGAGACACGTGTATTTTACAAAGACCCCATCGTACGTAAGAGCGCTCATCCTGACGGTATTCGTGTTGTCTTCTCTACTAGCGACGATTGGCAATGGACTTGGGATGGTCATCATAGCAAGGATTCGCCGACTGCAAACGGCGGCTAACCTCACAATTGTTAATCTGGCTTGCTGTGACTTTGTAGTGGGCTGTACGATGTGGACAGCCACTATACGTCGTGACACGATGCTGCGGTGCGCTCTATTCTCGGGGTATGCTGTCACGGTGATGCTAGCATCACTGATGGGAATTGCACTGTGCACGATAAACAGATACGTGGCCATCGTGCATCCGTTACACTACAACCTGTTGATGTCTCCAGCACGCACTGGTGCTCTCATTGTGGCATGCTTCGTGTACACAATGGCCCTCGGTGTTGCATCTATGATCCAAGCAGCATATTACTGGCAGCCGTCCTCAGTATGTATCGTTGATCAAGTGTTGCCACCCGGTTTCGTGTATTTTCTTGCCGGTCACTATATTGCTTTATTCATCGCCATGACTTACTGCTACACCGTCATCGCCAAGATCGCCTGGGCGCACACACAAAGAATGGAGACGGCATCAGATGCGGAGAGACGGGAAATGACCGCTTTCGACGCGATGCTGAAGATGTCAAAGATCATACTTACCGTCGTCGGCACTTCAACTACTCTTCTTGCACCGAACGTGCTCCACATGATGCTGATCCACAGCGTTCCGTTAGAAAAACTCAAAACACTGCGGGCTATTCGAACTATTGGACTGATAAGCAATTCGCTTGTGAATCCTGTCATTTACTTCTACAAGTACAAAGACTTTCGTCTAGCAGTAAGGCAAGTATTTGGTTGCCCTACGTCGTCTGTTACACCGTCTGAAGCTGCCATGGGACAAGAAACAGGTTAACTAGTCGCTTATGCAGTTAGCTGTAATGTTATGTGTAGACCACTAGGATGTCAGATGGAGTAGCCTTACATTACGAGATGTTACAGAAAGCGATAGACGTGTTATTTATATTATATATCAGTGGGTTGTGGTTATTCTGCATGTCAACCTGCCACTTGTATGAATATTTGTTGCATATCTCTTTTTCTATTTAAGTCCATTTCCTCTCTGTAATCGATGGATAACAAGTATGCAATTGGTCAACCTCGTTTCAGTATGACTGCTCCAACGCCATCCTTAGAAATATCAGCCTGTAAAACTAACTCTTTGTCATGGTAAACGTCTGCCAAGACTGGGGCCTCAGTAGGTTTCTTCATGATCTCATCAAATGCCTTTACACAGTCCGTAGACTGCTGAATTTGGGTCTCCTTCCTTTGCTTCTAACGTCTTACACTAACAGTTACTGAAGATGTAAAAAAAACAGAAGAAATCTTTCCTACATACTCTTCCACATCATTTTGTGAAAGCGCCACGACTGCTATCCATGTTGATAGTGTAAACTTATATATAGTAGTAACTGTGTAATATGATAAGCAGTTAAAAAGTATGCACAGTAATCCAGTTTATTCAGAGAGAATTGCTAGAGCCAGACACAATAGAGCATGAGTATGCTGTAAATAAAAGAGCATAAGAAATTGAAGGTTTCTTATATGATGGCAAGGTAATGCTGTCATCCACATTGATTAAAGCAATCCTTTGGCATACCTGCTCCAAGGGCGTCGGAACTGCCGAGGCACATTTTTCAGGCCATAAATTTTCCGTAACCAAAATCTTTCAATAATTTATACCGTCTTTTGGCCGGTACATATATCATGTATATATATACGTGTAATCTAGGCCCCTATAAGCGGAGACCAGGGTCAGATGAGGTCAGGTCAGGGGCGTGTACAGGGGGGGGGGGACCAGGGGGTCCGGACCCCCCCTGCTCGCGCAGAAAACGCATCTGAGGGGGTCTAATTTCAAAATTTGTTATGATCCAGAACTCTGGCACACATTCCTCTGCTCCCCGTCTACTCCTGATTCTATGCAGGCAGCATGCTGTTGCGTTATATTGAGGGCGCATTGAGTACACACTGATCTCGAGTCGGTTTTCGGTGAAAATACCAGATTTTCACCGCTCATTATCTCAGCGTAGGGGCATCGTAGGGACATGCGGTTTGTTTTATATGAACAAGGTAAGACAGCTAATCAATAATACTGCAAAGGATCGTCAAAATAAAACGGGAAAAGTTTACATCTTCGTTGAGAGCTTGCTTGGAATCCTAATTTTAGTGACTAGATTTGTTATACTTGGTTTGTTTACCTATTTCGCGTACTGTATTATGATATCGTGTTGCCGGCGTGCACTCATCAACCTCTCTTATAAGTTGCTAGTGTGATCATGACTCTATCTGAAGAAAATTTATAACGACATTAGATAGGGTTGAAAACGATAATAGAAGAGAGTGCCCAAGGTAACAACAATATATTCTGGTATCGCTTGAAACAATGTTCGAGCCACCCATTATTATTCTATAATTTTTTTTTATACAATGACATAAGTAAATATTCCATGTTATTAAATGAATAAATGAGTAATAATTATTTACCAAGTAATTAAATCTATTCAATTAACATTGTACAAAATCATTATTGAATTCAAACTGATATAAGCCTACCATCCTAGAACTAAATGCCAACGGATCATTTAATATAATGAACGCATTATTTATTTAATGATTTCGTTATCAGCATAATTGCGTTAACTCCATAATTAAAGTCATATCATTGATCTGGGTTTTACAATTGAATATCACATTTTTAGTTAGTAATTACTACTCACAAAGGAATAGGAAAACCAGGATCAACAAAAGAACCACTAGATCCATCGCAAACCGAAAAACTCCCAATGCTGCTGCCGGCAGCCATCAACAAAACAAACAACATCATGGCCATTAACAGCTACCCATAGATCACCAGCATCTTCAGAACATTTGATGCGCGTACACTCTCAAACAATGGGTTGTAGAAATGCTCACTGTGCCGCACCTGACCTTCCTGCGCCCTCGGACATGGGATGGAAACATGGTGATTCAGGACTACATGTTATCCTATACAAAAGTAAAGATGAGACATTTGTGAGCGAGACCAATTGCTCCGGCCTGACTGTATTAGCATTAAAGAGCATTTTGGGGTAAAGTTGGGAACCTAAACATTAAACATTGATACTTGATGAATTGTTATGAAATTTACTGGTATAGCTATATAATAGCTCATTTCCATAATTAATTATTACTCATCTGGATTACTACTGATCACTTTGCTCGACCCTCAAAATATAGGTAAAGACACTTTATTGCTTGCTTGTTGCCTAGTTTTGGAGATATTGGAGACAAATGACTTTTCTGTGATAACGGACACTAATTTGACACGAGTATGTTTACCACTTATTACTTCGGAAATGTGTTTATCTTATTCTCTGATCTTCAAAACACGTGTCTATACATTCTATTGTTCAATTTTGCATGACTGGGTACAAAGCTATTGTTGAAAATGGTTAAAAAAAGTCCAACAATGACAACTTGGCGGCCATTTTGTTTATGCAAATTAGATGGTCAAAAACTCAAGATTTCGCTTGGAAACCGAGCTTATCAGATTCAACATACTCGAATTATGTTAAAGTTATGTCTGGTTCCCAACTTTCACCACAAAATGCCACTAACATTCACATTTTTCAGAAATCATTCTACACATTTTTCAGCCAAGATTGCTTGCAAATGCACATGAGAGAGATAGAAGAGAGAGGGGGAGACAGAGATGGACGATGACAGAGACAAACAGACAGACGGAGTGAAGAGAGAGACGAATATAAACAAAAAACATGTCATAACATAGATAGTTGACGTTTTGAAACATAGTAAATTAGTTGATTATATGACACCTACCAAGTCTTTAGAAGTCTTCTTCTTAAAGGTTTTGGGCATTTCTAGAGGTTTTTCATACAGAGTTGACATTGATACGTGTAGTATAATAATATTTATGTAATTGCTTGACCACGTACTAAACTATTCATTTTAACTCGAGGAACTGTAGGAACTATGTTATGTCTTTTACTCACTACTTTTATGTTATAGCATGGCTTTCCAGTTGTTAATGTAATCAACTCGATTTTTTATATTGTCTGATTCTTTCTTTTCTAACAGTTTGTAAATCTATAGATCAATTTCTTAAGAAGTCTGGTTATGTAATAAATCTCATATATTAGCAAGCTAATTTGTTATTTTTCACTTTTTGGCAAAGTACGCATGCAAGATCTCTTCTAAAACATAACAGTTGTGACACGACCCCCGTACAGACTACAAATTTGATATGGTAAATTTGTGCAGTGTGTACACAACACTATCCCGCTCCCAATATGCGCTGGCCCGCACCAATTTGGCCCTGCAAATGAAGGAGTGCTAGGCGTGGGATAAGTTATCCCGCACCAAGCTGTGTCTGTACGCAACACGCGGGCCAGACCCGGTGCTAAATCGCAATACGAATGTGCATAGCCGTATTTAGGTCACTTAGTTGTACAATTGCTGTGCAGGGTGACGTGGCGAGCTGAACTGAGAACTGATGACTCATTTAATGTAAGATCAAATATTCAGTCTGTACGCTACGATTTGGCGCGCGCCAATTAAAGGGATCCTTTTCTCTAGGTTCTAGGGTTATTTTCAGTTAATTTAGGTTAAAATTATGCTACATAAAAAGTTTCATGGTTCAATCGCCATTAGAAATATTTTTTTCCAATGTTTTAAAACTAACGACTACAGATCGATTACAACGACGGTGGCGCCACTCAAAGCGCACGATCTGAAAAGTTGCGCAAAATGACTTTTCAGCCAAGGGCTACAGACCGAGGGTATTTCTTATTTATTAATTTAAAAGTAAAAGGATTGTAATATCTTATTAACGGCATATAGTTTCAGTTATATTATGGATAAATTTGTCCTAAAATGAACATCGTTCGGTTAAATAGAATTTAGGTATAAATATAATTGCACCTTTGTGATTAACCCTCGGTCTGTAATGTGCAAAATATATTGGGAAATGCGCAACTTTTTCAGGGTGGCAGCACGGTCGCGGGTGTCAATGGCGCCGTTCAAATTTCGTAGCGTTGAACTTGATGTATAATTAATTATAACAATTAAATTAGGTATCTGGTAACAAGTACATGTGGATATAGACGATTTGTTATACAGTAAGTACAGTTGTATGCAGTAACATCCTAGAGTTCAGTATCCCTTTAAATAGTAAATACCATATGAAATTTTGCAGTCTGTACGTGGTAATACGTGGATTTTTTTTGTTTTCATTCACTCCATACACATATCTAGAGCAAATGATACATAGTGTATAACGGGAAAATACTGCTATTTTACGGTAATATTATTTCATTTGAAATGCAAGTCTAGAATAGGGTAACAGTATTGCATTAGCAGCATTTTTCCCTTCTAAAGACTAAAGCCTACGGCTTCTACAGCTTCTCCAGCTTCTACAGCTTCCACTGCTCACCAAATAATTCAAACCACATTAGTATAGCGTAATACATAAGCGTGTGAACGCAAAGCTTCAGTGCCTGTGTATGTCTGTATGTGTGTGCGCGTGTGTGTGTGCGTGCGTGCGTGCGTGCGTGCGTGCGTGCGTGAAATTTTGAAGGCAGTATGATATGAAAACAGGCAGCCAAAAGCGAACCTCAAAACGTGGACATTTCTCAAATTTTTGAACTTCAACATTTATTTTTTCCGCACAAAAGTGGACCTCCGCCGCCTGTGGGGGGTGCGGGCGCACCCGTCGCACCCCCCTTCTCTACGTGCCTGTAGTGCAACGCTCATAAACGTTCACGCATCACGACAACTAGAGGCTTTATACAAAATGGCGGCCGACGAGCACCCCCCACGCGCAAGAGGTTCAAGGAGAACGCAGCAGCATCACAGAAGCAACATTTGGACGCACATGGCAGGAGGCACGCCCATCTTCGTGCCGATGCGGCCGCAGAAGCAGCAGCAGCAGGGAGGTGGGACGGCAACGAGGAGCGGAGACTGGAAGATCGATGCGGATGAGCTGGAGCGATGCTGCGGTTTGAAGACGAAGATGCTGATCCTGAACTCCCCCAACAACCCCGTTGGCAAGGTGTTCGACGGAAACGAACTACGCATGCTCGCCGACGTCGCCGAGTGGCTGACGTTCAACACGCGCAGCCACGTTCGCGTCGCCACGCTCCCGGACATGTAGCAACGCACGCTCACCATCAGCAGTGGTGGCAAGATGTTCAGCGCGACGGGGTGGAGGACGGGCTGGGTCATCGGTGCTCGGAACCTCCTTCGGTATCGTTCACACTCCGGCTCAGGAAGCGATTGCTATCGGGTTGGAGCGAGAGCTGGCGAGGTTGAATAGCTTCGATAGCTACCTCGGTAGCTTTACATCCTCGATGCAGAGTAAGCGGGACTTGCTAGTGAAGCATCTCGAGGAGGCTGGGATCCCGCCGGTTGTACCCGAAGGCGGTTACTTCATCATTGCCCATTTCTCCAACGTTGACGAGCACAGCGGGGCAGTGGAATCGGCGGATAGAGAAGCCAGAGACATCCGCTTTGCGAAATGGTTGATTCGCGGGCACAAGCTGTCCACGATAACAGTCAGCGCGTTCTACTTGCCCGCTAACCGACACATAGGCGAGAACTACGTTCGACTCTGCTTCATTAAGGACGAAACGCTGCAGAAAGCGTGCGATATTCTGAGACAGTGGTCGCTCGCAAAGTCACAATAGTACGTCGGCAAAATGTATCGGAGTACTGTACGAATGCACCCGATGTAGGGCAATGGACTGCTATGGCAGACATGCAGTCACATTCTGGAACTCGTAGGAAATTATATACTCATTATTTCTAATGGGGGGCTTATGTCGGGCTTCGACTGGAAGCAACTGGATTTCGAGCAACTGGACGCGATCGGCAGCGACTAGTTGCGTTTACAATACCCTTATATCACGCCCCCCGGAATCAATTCCCATAGAAAACCCCATCATAGAAATCATGACGTACATACACTTTCCGCGACCCGGCTTGCTACACAACTAAGGCTGCTCGCTACACTGCCCTCCCCTCAGTAGCGCGTAGGTTCCGTCACACTTTACACCATCAAATTAACAGCGTCAGCCTGAGTGATGCGCAACCCACCGAGTTTATACACAATTGTAGCTCCTATTCCCGCGATTGTCCGATAGTCCCGATAGTGTGAGTGCTGGCGCCGCCTGTCGCCTTCTCGTTTCAGGGGTGAGCACCCGAGGTATATATATAATAGCATATAATATATATAATAGCATATATATATAATAGCATTCACCTAGCCTGGTCGCCGGCTTCTCATCCCAGGGGTTGGCACCCGGGGTATAGCGTTTGTCTAGCCTGATCGCCGGCCTCTCGTCAGCTGCTGCCGCTCGCCGTGGGGTAGGCCTGGGTGCTTCTCAGGCCGACTTCGGCGGTGACTGGCGCCGTCGCTCCTTCTTGTCGTCGAGCATCCAGGCCGTCCTCATAACGCGGAGCTGCAGGTGGAGGTGAAGCAGGTCCGCCTGGCGCAAGACGTCGGCCTACATCCCGCGGATTTCCTCGTCAATGACCATCGGCACCAGCACCGTGTACGGGGGTGCCGGGACCGTCAACGGGGCCACGGGGGTGCCGGCAGAGCGACTGGCTGCCACCACCGCCGTGTGGTATCGCCCTCGCTACTGTCGGTCGTCGGCCTCCTATAGCTGTGCGGCAGGGTCAGGACGAGCACCACCGAGCAGGGCTTCATCGCCGCGTCGATTGCCTCCTCCCGAGCCTTCTTCTTTTTCAGCGTCTGCAGGGCGGTCAGGGGGTTGCTGAGCCGCCTTTTTGGTCAGAGCGGTGCCAGCTAGGGCGAGAGTCGTCGTCATCGTTTCCACCGGCGGTGCCGTATCGGTGGGTCCGGAGAGGTACCCGGCGGAGGCATCCCGGTATGATGGGTTGTCTCCATCGGGTAGCCGGACCCACTGGTCCCGCCAGTAGTCCTCGCTTATCTTGTGAGGGCGGCTACGGAGGTGTCGAGCCAG